ATAAAGACAGAGAAAATAAACTACAAGGGCAAGCTAGTGAGGAATATAAATACACTAACAATAAAAGCTTCTTTAAATATGTAAAAAGGAAGAGAAAAGTCCAAGTGAACATAGGCCCCTTAGAAAATGAATCTGGGGAGATGATTTTGAGGAACAAGGAAATGGCGGAGGAATTAAACAGAAAGTGACTAACCAGAGGCTGGTTAACCTAACATCTGGTGTTGGAAAAATATTGAAACCAATTATTAAGGAAGTGGGAGCAGAACATTTGGCAAATCGTAATCTAATCAAGCAGAGTTAGTATCGCTTCATGAATGGGAATTTGTGTTTGACTCATTTATTAGAGTTTTTCGAGAAAGTTTTAAGCAGAATAGAAAGAGGGGACCCATTTGGTGTGTTATATTTGGACTTTCGGAAGATGTTCGACAAGGTCCCTCCTAAAAGGTTAAGTCAGAAGATAAGAGCCCACGGTATTGAATGTAGTATGTTGGCAAGGATAATGGTATGATTTGGCGAATGGGCAGGAAACAGCAAGTGGGATTAAAGCGTTCTTTTTCAGTGCGGGGACTGTAGCTGTTAACAATATATATTAATGATTAGGAGGAAGGAAGTAGCCAAATTTGCAGATGACACAAAAACAGATGGAAAAGTGGGTTGTCAGAGGGATGCAAACAGTTTATTGAGAGATATTGATAGGTTAAGTAAGTGTGCAAAAAGTTGCTCAACGGAATATAATGTGGAGAAATGCAAAGTTGTTCATTTTGGAAGGGAAAACAAAAGAACAATGTTAGTTAAATGGAGAAAAACCTGCAGAAAACTGTAACACAAAGGGTCTTGGGGATACTTTGGCACGAAACACAAAAAGCTAGCACACAGGTGCATCAGGTAATCAGGAAGGTGATTGGCATATTGGCCCTTCTTTCAAAGGCGTTGGAGTATTAGAATAGGGTTGTCTTACTGCAACTGTATGAGGTCTTGATGAGACCACATATGGAGTACTGTGAGCAATATAGTCCCCTTATTTTAAAAAAAGATATCATTTCATTGGAGGCAGTTCAGAGAAGGTTTACTTGGGTAATCCCTGGTATGGAGGGATTGTCTTATGAGCAAAGGCTAAACAGGTTGGGACTCTACTCACAGGAGTTTAGAAAAATGAGAGGTGATCTCGTTGAAACATGCAGGATTCTTAAGGTACTTGACAGGACAAATGTTGAGAGGATGTTTCCCTCATAGGATCAGAATAAAGGGATGCCAATTTAAGACTGAGAAGAGGAAGAATTTCTTGTCTGATGCTTGAGAGTCTGTGGAACTTCTTGCCATGGAGAGCACAGGGGCAGAGTCTTTGTGTTTATTTAAGGCTGAGGTAGATAGATTGTTGATCAGCGGGGGAATCCAGTCTAATGGGGGAAAGTCAGGAAAGACTACGTGAGGAATGTTGAATCAGCCATGATTGTATTGAATGTTGGAGCAGGCTTGAAGGGCCTAATGACCTACTCCTGTTCTTTTTTCTTATGGTCTAACTGAGCTAGGGATATTTCTTCCTGGTTTTATACTTTAAGCTCCAAAGTTGCATTTCTTCACTCATGAAAATCCCTGGTAAAGCTAAAATGTATTGCCTATCTGTGATTGTCATTGAGAAGGTGGTGATGAGCACTATTCTTGAACCATTGCAGTCATCTGGAATAAAGTATACCCACACTATTGTTAGGGAAAAGTTCCAGGATTTTGATCTAGTTACAGTGTTTCCAAGTCGAAGTGGTGAGTGGCTTGGAGGGGAATCTGCAGGAAATGGTGTTCCCATGCGTCATCTGGCCTTTTCCTTCTAGGTGGTAAAGATTGCAAGTTTGGAAGGTGCTGTTGAGCAAACGTTGATGTGTTGACCCCATGCATCTTGTAGATGGTACATAATTCTGCCACATTGCAAGGAAGGGATAGATTTTTAAGCCAGTAGATGGTTTGGAAATCATGGTTTCCTTTCTACTGGATGGTACCTAGCCCTTGAGTGTTGCCGAAGCTGCACTCATCCAGGTAAGTGGAGAATATTCCATTACACCAATGTCTTGTGCCTTGTAGATGGTGAACAGGCTTTGGCGTGAAAGAAGGTGAGTTGCTCGCTGCAAAATCCCCAGCCTCTCATGTGCACTTGTAGCCACTGTATACGTCTGGTCATGTTCAGTTTCTTGTCACTGGTAAGCCCCAGGATGCTGATGCAGGGTATTGAACAATGCTTCTGCCAATGAATGTCAAGGGGTTATGGTCAGATCCTGTCCAGTTGAAGATGGTAATCGCATTTAACAATTATCAGACTCAGCTCAGACCTGGGTGCTGACTGGGTCTGTCTGCATATGGAGTATCTTACAAGATGCAAATTGTTCTGACATTGCTTGAGAGCTCTGTCCATGTTTTGCTCCAAATTGAGTCTAGATTGAAGGAACTGCAATTAGCTAGATTGGTTTGTGTACGTGTTGTGGACGTGACTTATCTGGGCAGATGTTCTCATTGTCAGATAGCTGCAAGCTTTCTAGCTGGGCTAAGGCCAGGGATACTTCTGGAAAAAGGAAGCTTCAATATGAGAGCCAACATTGTCAGTCCCATGGCCTTTGCTGCGTCCAGCACTTTGGCTGTTTATTGATCAAGTGTTTGGCTAAAGATATTCTTTCGTGATATTGGGAACCTCACGAGGAAAATGAAATTGATCATCTGCTCAGCACTTCTAGCCTGAGGATAGATCAACCATAAGACCAAAAGGAGCAGGAGTGTGCTGTTTGGTCCATCAAGCCTGTTCCTCCATTCAGTGGGGGTTAGTATAAACAAACAGCACCACACCAGGTAGAGAGATTCAGCTGGCTTCAAATAGGTGATTGGTTTGCGCAAGTGTGACCGGTCCTGGATGCCAAAAGTCGTAAGACTGATGCCAACCGTGAGTGATTCCAGAATAACTGAGCAGCTTACAAGTGTGAATGATACAAAGGAAAGGCTTCAGACCTCTGGAAGGGGAGAAGATGGGCTCTCTTACACACATGTATGCGCACGCACACACACGCACACACACCCTCCCCCCCCCCCCCACCCCCCCTCCCCCCCCCCCCCCCCACCCC